ACTCTTTTCAGGTTTCAGACTGAAATGATCAATTGCTAGATCAATGACTTTATCAACCGACTCATTTTTTGTCATTTTCTTCGTAGCAAGACTGCGAAACATTTGCTGCTCCAAAGTAAAGAGAGTTGCTGCTATTCTCTGTCTCCCGTCATTGTGATTTCAGTATCTTTTTGTGTTTTGACTACTGGCGAGACAAAATAAGCAATCTGAAGACAAGAAGTTTAATCAAATGATGAAAAAACCCACCGAAAGAACCACTGAAACCTCAACTTGAAACCACAAGTGAAACAAACACACTGAAAGAACCCAGACGGCGTAACTGGGAATTTTCTTCACAAAAACAACCCAGCAGTTTTAGAGTGACCCCCCAACTTTATGTGAATCGGGACAACAAGTTTGCTTAAAATGAACAGAGTGTTCTGAATCTCACACCGTAGTCTAAATATAAATGTGTTGCCAAAGCATCTGCAGCCATTTCCGTCTAATATTAGCTCTGATGCATTCAGTGCCTGAAGCAGAATCCCCAGTCTTCTCCCATTTCTCTCTATCGCTCTTTCTTTCTGGCTCTGATGTGGTTTATCTGCGGCTGAAGAACACTGGACCAGTTGATTATTATTCCACTGCAGAGCTGCAGGCAGTACAGATAAGGCTATGCAGGTCTCCTATCTGAAACTGGCAGCATCGCTCCCCGTCCCCTCTTATTCTACCCATTAACTCCTGCTCTGGCCTGAAATAGGAAATTAGGAGTATGCCGAGCTGCAATCAGAACTGTTGATTGGCTGCTGCAGTGTAGTTTGCCCTCAGACTCAGTGCTTCTCACTGCAGGATGTACAGTAAGTGTTGTGGTTAGCAGTTGACTTTTGGTATGATTGAGGCATACTGGTCAGTATTCTAGTCAATCAAATACATCCATGACCACCTTTGCACCCAACAACCAGGTTTTATGAGTAATGGAATCTAAAACAAAATCTAAAAAAAGCCAGAAAATAGTGAGAAATCCCTCTCGGAGCCCAAAGTGATGTCTTTTAATTGCTTGAGTTGTCTGACCAACATTTCAAAACCTAGACATATTTAATTTTAATATTAATAACAAAGAGAAAAACAGCAAATAATGACAGTTGAGAAGCTGGAACCAGAGAAATCCTCTCTGTAAAAAATGACTTAAACAATTGATCGATTCTCAAAATGGTTGATGCTTGGTATCAGTCTGCTGCTTAGTATTAGTCAGTATCACTTTCGTATGGCAAATGGCAATATCTATAGCCATGAGCTCAGCAAATGCAGAATTAGAGAAGAATTAGAGCTGTGGGAAATGCAAAATGCTTTGTCATTGTAACTGGCAAAGTGAACTGATTGATCAACAGTAGCAGCCCATACAACGTAACTTTAAGCTCAGTGATTGGATGTTTTTTGCCAAAAAGCTTCTTGAAAGTTGAAGTTTTTATCAAAGTACCCTTTTATTTTCTAATTCAGTTATTCTTCAATCAGGACAGCTTATGTTGGACTGCCGGCCACCTAACATTACCCACACAAAAAAACCAACCAAGACTTTTACTTTCACACCCCTGGACTCCCAAACTAACTCCTGCCACTTCAACTGTTTAGTACATGCTAACACTCGTACACCTGGCAACCTCTACTGAAGCCCACTGTACTCTGAAAGAGAGCAGCTCCCTCGATGTAAGAGGTCAACCTCTTAATGTCCCACTGTGGTTCGGTGGTTTCAGAGCTCAGTATTGATTAGGTGGTCGGTCTGTTCACACCAGATGCCCAGCACCAGCTGCTCAGGAATACACTGCTGCTATAATGGAGTCAAGAGACACCCTCTGCATTTTTAATGAGCCAACCTGGCAGTGCAGCCTTTAGTTACATAATGAGTGCTGTTATTTGACATAGCCCGTATTGCTGCTGTCATTGAAGGACCTTACCACAGTTGGTAGTGGTTATTATGCTCAGGCTTTACTTGAATCTTGTACCAAGAGGGTTTCAGAACCTTCAAAAACCAGTTTAAAACCAGTGAAATTGAGGATGTAAGATTTATTTAACTGCAAAAAAACATACAAAACAGACTCCTTATATTGAGTGCGATGTATCTATACCTCAGATCCTTCTTACACCTTCTTTCTGTGTCATCTTCAGCTTCTCCCTTGAATGAAATTGGCTTATCAGGTGAAAGGGAGCAGATTGCCAAATGTTACGTATGGCCAAAAGTAAATACAGATAACGGATCTTCTTGAGTCCTGCACAGGTTTGATAGGGACTAGAAAGCCTGGCACATATGCCATCAGGGGTAAGTAAGTAACACTGCTGGGAAAAAAACCACCTCTTAAACATTTCTGTTAAGGGTTGGTGGAGCTTCCCACCACTTAAGTGAAGTTTAATTTCAGAACAGCTTTTGGCGGGGGGGGATTGTGGTTTTCGTGGTCGACACAAGTGGGATACTCACCCCCCCCCCTTTTTTTTTTTTTTAAACGGCCGATAGACTACCAGGACTTCCCCTTTGACGGATCCATGCACTAAATCACATGTTCACTCAGCATTATACAGGAAGACCACAGAACTGCATGCAGTAACTCAGAACATTAAGCAGGGACAATGGCAATGACCCGTTTGAGGAGAAGTATTTTACGAGCAATATCAGTACATGAGGAGGATGACGTGTTCACTAGTTGCTCTCCACCAGAGGTAATATTTTATGCATTTTCAATTCTTGAGCATAACTTTTAAGTTGCACCTTACACTGTGTGGTTTTGCACAATCGCATTACAGAGCATTTCTGGTAAAAAGCCGTCTCTTATTTTGGAAGTCTAGTGCTTAATGGCTCTATAGTAGAACTTGCAAACAAGTTTTCCTGTTTTGTGTCAGGGTTTTCTGACCAGTGGATTTCTGGCAAATGCTGCCTTCTCAAGTCTAAAGGAACAGGTAGAAGAAACTACGTTAAATTATGTAATATATTATGTATAATGTATGCACCCTCCACCTTCATTTTGTTATGCTTTGATGCTGTATTGAACAGCTCAGTTCCCAGGCTTCTTCTAGTCCACTGCATATTCGATCCTCGTGGGTACCTCCAGCTGTTTGCTCGGCTACTGCATATTTCATCCCTATTGATCCCCGTGCAATAAAAACATCACAGAGCCAGTGTTAGGAGGCCTTGGGGCACTGGCATTATTTATGACTCTCTCTGCCCTGTCGCTCTGCAGCAAGGCAGCTTCTTTGTAATGCCAGCATGAAATAATCATGACAAGCAGCCCATTGACTGGATCAGTCGTGCGCCAGGGGTTTTGAAGAAGGATGCTCTGTCATTAGAGGCAACATGCTGGCTGTACTACAGCTGTGGAAATGTCGCAGTTTGACTGGATACAGGAACTAACTGTCAGTAGTGTTGTAATTCATATCCACGTTCACTCAGCTCATTCACTCTTTGTTAAACCATATATTTTGAGTCATATTTGGTCACCTGACAAAGTGACAGTTGCAGTAGACGCTCCCATCTTACCATTAAGAGCATGAAGCATAGTGGTTGGTCAGGTTCCCCATCCTGTTTATCAGGAACATTTCTGCACTGTGTTGGTAACATGACAGAGGTTTTGCTCTGCAGAGTGACCTGTTTTGCCATGTGTTGGACCTGAAACATAATTCACATTTTTCCTCATAATCTTCACAGTTCAGACAGTATCTGTGCTCACTGTCTGCAGAGACTTCTTGTTCTGATTCAAAATCTAATCTGAAAAGTCCAGGTTTCAGGGAGGAACAGGAACAGATATAGACTGTCATCATTTAAGAAAGTGATGGTAAGATGGTAGTTTGCTATCAGTCTATACTGAAGGTATTCATTTAAAATGGTTATACCAGTTATTAGGGGTGGAATGATTGGTCACTGAGTTGAATTACAACAACTTTACTTTAGTTGATTTTTCAAGCAAAGATGCCAAACATTTCATGTTTCCAGCTGTTTAGATCAGTGGTAGGATTCGTGGCTTTTTCTTGTCCAATAGTACATTTATTGAATATCTCTGGATTTTGTTTAAGGGTTAGGAAAAAAGACTGCAATTTCATCACTATGGGCTTTAGGAAATTATGTCACTTTTCTCTATTTTCCAACACTTTATATGTCCAACGATTAATCACTTAATTAAGAAAGTCATTAGTAAATCATTAGTACTGAGAGAACTGTAGGGATATTGAGCTTTTTTTGCATCAGAACTCCCCTTAATGATATAATTCTAGTTAGGAGGCGCCCGGAAAGCTCACCTGGTAGAGCTGGTGCCCCGTGTACCAAGGGTCCTCGTTACAGTGGCTCAGGGTTCAAATCCGACCTATGGTTCTTTGCTGTGTGTCAATTAAAGACAATAAAATCCCTCAAACAAATATTTAAGAAAAGTCATTTTGCAATTCCACATTTAAAAGATATTTTATATCTTTTAGTTTTTTCTGTCGGGGAGATTTCCACAGTTTCACAGCTGTAAGGATTAGCCCGGACGAACTGTCCTCCCAATGTTCAGGATGCATCTTGATAGTCAGTTTTACTTCCTTATTTCTACCTGACATGGGATCCTGCCACTCTCAGTTATATAACAACAACACTTCCTTCCCCTGTCCTACTCTGAGTTCATTCAATGCTCCGCTTCTCTGTTGCCAACAACAGCTATGTCAGCTTGAACTACAGTTATTTGACATTTCAGCAGTTTCCTTTTTGCTCTAATGCCTCTCAATGTTCAGCAGAAACTCTGCAGATTAAATCACTTCTGCTCCACGTGGATTTCAGTAGGAACGTGGCATTAACAGTGTGGGAGAGAGGTGTTTGATGTATGCTCCGGGGGTGTTTTTAAGGTGTTTTGCAGGTGCAGCTGTTGATTTTCACTCTGAAAGCTGTGAATTTTTTACAGCATGGCATCATCACTCACTGTCGAGGAACTTTTCCCTGTTTATGTAACGGACTTAAATCCACTCACAGATGACTCACAGTTCACCTCGCTCTCTTTCTTTCTCCCCATCAGACGGTATCTTCATCAGGCCAGGGCCGCTCCGAGTCCCCTGTCTACACCAACCTCCAGGAACTGAAGATCACCCAGACCAACCTGCCGCCTTACCCCTCTGGCTCCCCCGTCCACGTGCTAGGCGACTGGGAGACCTACAAAGACCAGAACGGCAGGTACTTCTACTACAACCGCTCCACCCAGGAGAGGACCTGGAAGCCGCCCCGAGCCAAGGACACCAGCACCAGAGGAGAGAACCACAGTGCAGGAGAAAGCTCTGAGGTACAGATCATACACAGAGGGTTGGATGAAACACTCATGAGCCCCCCATACATTATTTTACATCTTTTTTATGAAGAACTAGAGTCCTTAATTAAGAAGTATCAGTTGTAGTAAAGTCAGCCTTTGGCAAATAAATCAACAGTAGTCACTTGTCACAATGGCTGGTAAGTCTTAGCAACAATTAAAAGCAAAAAAATATGTCTTTGTTCAATGAACAGGGGATTGGCTGCCTGGATTGTCAGCAAGCCTCTCATTACTCAAAACTGAACATGAATTACATGTGGCAAAACAATGAGAACAAGTAAAGCATGAGTGAAACAAAATCATCTGAAGGCAGATACTGTTAAGGCTGGGCCGAGTAGCTGCCATCCAAGTGAGAGTGAGGGGGATTATAATGCTACACGTAGTCATTGGTTCAAGAGATGGAAAAGAAAAGCAAAATTTTTTACAGGTACATTTTTTATGTCTGTGGGCCAATGTGATTTTAAAAAAGGTGGAGGTGGAGGTGCATAGGAAGAGTCTGTTAAACAAAGTTGTTCAGTTCACCTCCTCTCCATGACTGCAAACACAGATGTAATTGTGCAGCTCAGATGTAAACACTCAACAGAGGAGGAATTTGAGTAATGTGGAGAAAAGAGTTTTTGGGCCCTTGTGATTGCACACACGTGAACACCTGGTCACACATGGTTCTGTCATTTAAGTTGGCTGACACTGATCTCTCCTACTGTCTGAACGTCTGAGACAAAGTTTATAACAAACATTTCTCTTCTGATAGAATATATACTGACTAACCTCTGCAGTCAGACCTTTATCTTAGATTGAATTAATTCAAAATCCTAAGTTCAACCTAATAAATTCAAAGTATTACCACTAAACTAAACCAGTGAACAGTGAACTGAGTTGCACTGTTCTCACAAGCACAGAGTTACAAGGACTCACACACACACACACACTTGCTTATGTATACTGAGTGAGTGTCAAAGCATCATGAGTCAGAGACAGATATTAAATAGATAAGAAAAATACAGCATGCCAGTACTTCATCACATATTGTGACTGCCTTGTGATTAACAGACAAGTGGGGCATCTGCAAAATTGTTCTTTCACTGTTGACAGATTGTTCGGGAGATTTGAAATTGTCAGACAAAAAAAAAAAAAGTTTCATTCATTTCACAAAGCTTGATTGTGCACGCTCACCAGAGTAACTTGTTCTTGGCAGACTATAACAAAAAAAAACACAGGCAGCCTTTTGCATTGTGGAAGTTAGTACAGTTGTGATTAATGTGAACTGTATTTGTTATCGTCACTCACATAAACACACACACACGCACGTTGTGACACACCAGTTTAGCCTGAATCATTAGGGAGTCATTTCTGATTTTGAGCCGGCCTCTGTTTCATTAAATGGCTGTACCACACTGCCACCTACAGGCAAAAAGCAGTCACTGTCACTTCATTGATTCTGTGCCACACTGCAGCAGCCCCCTTCAGCCACACTGTCCAAAATCATGCATGAACATCAATGACTTTTAGCTCTCTGATGGGTCCTCTGGTTCTCTGTACTGTGTTAAAGTGGTGTTGGGTATTTTCTGATGATTAATTGGTTCTGGGTGCATGACTGTCTTCTCTCTTCTGTTAACTCCATGGTGCCCTCTCCTTTCTCTCCTCTCTCCCCCTCTCTTTGCACTGACGGTAGACCACTCCTCTCTCGCTCTCGCCGTCTTTCCTTCCCTTCCTCTCGCTCTCCATCGGTCGACTCCAGCCTCTGTCATCCGAGGACACCTGCTTCAGCACCTACTCTAGCCAGTCAGACAGTCAGTATGGCTCGCCACCGCGTGGTTGGTCGGAGGAGATGGACGAGCACGGCCACACGCTGTACGTCAGCGACTATACCAATGAGAAGGTACCGGCTGAACTGCGCTGCTCTGCTTTGTCTTTACTGTGGTGGTTTCTGGGAATGCATGTGGGAGCAGATTTTGGGTTGATTTATGGTAGATTTCCCCCTATTGTGCACAACTCAAATGTTTCCTCCGCACATATTAGGCAGAGTCGTAACACCACAGCATGAGAATGATTACTATGATTACTAGAGAAATAATGAAAAGATCAAACTGTTTCCTGCAGTGCCCCCATAAGGCAAAACTCATTATCCAGGAATAGTTGTAATAACACATGCAAGATCCAAAAAACGTATTTATTGTATAGATTTAAAGAAAAGTGACATAATGAGCATTCATGTGAAATGAAAGTTACAGTATAGTGCAAGGGTTCAGGAACACATGTAAAACCACAATGTTAATATATTTGTAACATTTGATATCATGAAAAACACATGATATTAGGTTTGTCTGTTGGTCAGTAGGGTTGATATCATTACAGAAATACTTAGTAAGTAATGCCAGGACTCACAATAATGAGTCTTGTGTTTCTCCTGTTGTCCATGTGTGCACCACCAGTGGTTAAAGCACGTGGATGAGCAGGGCAGACCGTATTACTACAGTGCAGATGGTTCAAGGTCAGAATGGGAGCTGCCAAAGGTAAGACTATACATACTCATACTCAGAGAGAGTCACTCTGGTGAGCGCAGAAACCACAAGTTCCCCACAGCTGCTTCTTCTAGTTATTTCTTTTTTGTCTGACAATCCATCCAGAACCGATTTCAGTAGATGAGTTATAGCCACAGATTAATATTAATGGCGCTATGTGATTATGGCTTATAAAATGGATGTTCAGTTGTACCATCACGTTAACTCTTGGCAGAATCAGGCACACATATTTAGTTATAACTGAGGATGTAAACTTGATACAACCACCTTATGTGTATATATGTGCGTTGAATTAATGCAATTAAAAGTATACCAGACAACAAAAATATATTTCTGCACACACCAGGATAGTAGGATTGGCACTGTTTTATTACATTGAAAACAAAACATAAAGGAGCAAACTACACATTTTGCGTCTTGCTTCATTCGCTCTGTGCCATCAGATGTGACTATAAATGTTAGCAGGAACTCCAACAGGTTCACATTTCAATACAACACAGTAGGCAAAAGCAAATATAATTTACGATTCAAGATTAAATATACATATTACATTACACAAGACAATGAGATACAATTTATATCAGAGTGTCAAACTGGCTATTTCATTAGTTTTATTTTGTTTGTAATGTAAAAAGTGTCAATCCTAGTATCCTGGTGTGTGCTGGAATGTATTTTTGTTTGTTTTGTTTTGTTTGGTTTTATTTTGCTCTGCACCAGCTGGCACCCAGAAGAGAAGCACTGCTGTGACATTTTCTATTTATTTGTTTATTTTTTTTGAGTATATTAATACAGTATGATTCCCTCCCTCCAGTACAACATCTCCCCTCCACAGCCGCCCGGAGACGCGCCAAAGAGTCGCAGTTTGGACAGGAAACACGTGGAGCCCATCGTCCTGACCAAGTGGAGACACAGCGCCTACGTCCCAGACCCCAACGACAAGGTCTGACACCCAAGTCTGCACACTACAGACTTAAAATAACCTCTAATCTTAAATACTAAATTTCACTGCCAGCAAAGAAAATCTCCAGTGAAAATTTCCACTGCAAAGTACATTTTATAATCCATCTCTTGTGCCAGTTGTGATTAATGATTTTACCTGTGTATGGACTTCAAAGCCTTCTGTACAGAATGGGTTTGTCCATATGGAGCTGTTATTGTGATGTGTTCACTGGTAAAATGTATTACACAAGTTCAGAGTTTCAGTTGTAGACTGGTTGCTTTACAGCGGCTGTTAAAAACCAGGCGTTTCCGCTCAGGCTCCGCCCGCCTACACCCATACAAACACCAAGTCAGTAGCCTGTCCGACCGACCAATCCGTGCCCTGTCCCTTAATCTAAGCAGAAAATCAGCTTGCATGTTTAGCTTTACAAATCACACACCAGGAGTAATAATTACATTCCCATCTTTATGTCAAATTCACTTGGTTTCGCCTGATTCTGAGTTGATTGAGCGCATTCATTTGAATCATTCCACCAAAATGCTCAACATTCAATCATGAATTTGATGAACTTTTACATTTGAGGGTTTGGCCACAACAATACAGAAATAATCTGCCTTAAAAAATGCTAAAAGATGAAGTAGTTTGTAGTGGCAGCATGAGCACTGTGATAAATACCTGCGTCCACATCTAATTAATAATCCGCTGGTGCCTCCTGGACCTCCCACAGGTACTCGACACACTTTGCAGCATTATAATCTCACCGCTAATTGCCACCGCACTCTTTCATCCGTCTGTGTCTTCTTAACCTCTCATCATTTTCTCATTAACCCTTTTGTTGTTGTGACAGTTTGTTTTTTTCATCCCTGTCTCCTCACTAGGACGCTCCTCTGGGTCAAAAGCCCCCCTCTCCTGACTCTGACTCCTGCCCTTCGTCTCCCAAGCCCCCCACCTCTGTTAGTACTCACCCCTCACCTCACCTCCTCACCACCCACTAGGCTTAGCCCTGCGGGGGGGTTTAAGGTGTTCCCTGGTTGTAGGCAGGGACATGTGTTTGAGCTTATTGCAGGGTTTCTACACAGGTGTGGAAATAAATAGAGAAGTCCCAGTATACAGTAACCTCTGTCATCTTACATACGCTGATATTTTTTGCATTTTTTTTGGTACATTTGAACTTTAGCCTGTGTAGAATCCCTGTTTATAAGCAGTGCTGATGGGTAACTGTGCCCGAGGAATTGACTTGGACTTGTCAAAATGTTGTTTGTTCCTGGGTGCGTTGATTATTTGTGTTGTACCAGAATTTCCCTGTGTGTCAGAATCTGAAGCAAAAGATCTCTAACTGCTGCAGTAGTTTTGCCAAGAAATTCATGGTTTTACCTTTGCAATTTATTTTAATCTGATGCCACTTTCTTGTGTTTAGTCATTTGCCTTTCTTGAGTAGGAATAATGGTAGTAGTCTGTTGCCTTCCTCCAAGCTGAAAGCTGTAATTGTTCTGGTGGCGGGGTATTTTTTGATGGTGGTGGTGTTTTACAACGGAATGACACAATATTCAGCAGCTTTCTCTCATGTCATTCTGCTGTGGTTGTAAATCATAGTTTAAGTGGTTGATGTGTGCGTAACCTGCTTCTTTAAGGCGCGTCCTAATGCTTTCTTTCTCTCCAGCCGTCTGAAAAGTGCGGAGTTCTGAATGTGACAAAGATCACTGAACACGGCAAGAAAGTGAGGTGAGTAGCACTGAGTCTTTGGCCATAACAAGACCATTGTTAATATTCTACAGTATTATTGAGCTAGTTTTAAAGGTACCCTGTGGAGAGTTTGACCTCTAGTGGCACTGTGGAGCAATGTTTTTATGATGTTTGTTTTTTTATATCTATATCTTATAAAAAATTCTATTTTCGTCTTTTCTGTCTGAATGAGGGTCATTCTCGTACTGCTGAGCAGGTTTGAGGTTGAGTTGAGGTTTGATTCTTAGCCCTAATGTTGTTTAGTAGTATTAGAAGGTCTCTGCAGATTTACTTTTAGGACTCTTTATGAATTATCTGTTGCAGGAAGAACTGGACTTCCTCCTGGACCGTGCTCCAAGGATCCACGTTGTTATTTGCCAAAGGCCAAGGAGGCGGGACCAGCTGGGTTAGTGACACAAACCTTTTATTTAAAAAATAAAGGTTGTTTCATATCAACAGCAAGATCCTGTCTAGATAAAATACACAGAAACAGTCACTCAAGTTCATTGATTAGAGGGTGAGAATGAGTGTGTCATCTCTGTGTGATGCTGCTTTTTTACATTAAAGGACCTCCAGTGTTTTTGAGTGGGTTTGTCAGGTCACTCGATGGGAGTTGGGGTTGACATTTCTCTCTTCTACATGTTTCCCTTTCCTTCTCTTTCCATGCTTCCGTCTCTTTACCTTTGGCTTCACCTCCCCCCTCCCTCATCCTCCTTGTCGTGATCCCCTCCATCCTCCCATGCAGCCATACTACCACAGTGGCTCCCTCCCTGAATTTCTCCTGTCACTGTTGAGTAACTGGAGGCCGTCTGCTAAGAAACGTCCTGCTGTCTCCTATGGCTGCTCTGGGCTCGACAGAGCCTCCTCTGTATGTGCTTCCTCCTTCCTTTTGTGTGCTTCTCTCTCTCCTCCTCCGCATGCCACCTCCCTCCTATCTGTCATGCTCTGACCCCAACCCCTCTGTGTGTTATTCCTGGCATGGGGCAAGAACAATATTACTCTTTATATGCAAAATCGTTTTACTCTGTGGCTTGACTGTTGTTTTTTGAGTAATGGAGAAGTTGTGAAGTTCAGGCATTCATCAGTTGTAGATCATCACATGGAGGTCTGTAGGGATGTCATGCTTTCTGATTACATGAATAGAGCGTGACACACAGGCAGGATTACTCTCGGCTTTTAGTTGCATGTGTGCAGGCTGAAACTCACGAGACACCTGTGCTCATACAAAACCAAAGTTCAATGAGCTTAAGATTGGGTCATTTTCCTAAATCTCAACCAAGCTTGCATTAAGAGAGGAAAATGTCCCATTACTTAATAGAATTACCTTTTACATTAATTCAGAATTAATTGCATATATGTATATGGAACATATGCATGTATTCTGGTTATAGTTTAGGAAATTCCCATGTGTCTGTGGCAATTGTCAGACAAATACAACAATCAATAGATAATACAGTTAAGACATCAAACCACATACAACACAAACAATCAAAAGTCAAGTACAAGAAAATGTAAATGACACAACTATCATATCACAATGATTTGTTTAACAGAGCTGTACTGGAAGGTGTAGCTCAATTTTAGTCAGAAGTTAAAAACTTTGCACAGCAGTTGATCAGAAAGTTAATCTGTAGGTGTCCTTATTATCGAAGTAGCACATTTTCTTCTCATTTACACAAATTGTTGCATGGTTGAATGCTGATGACATCCATGAAGGCTCTCTGTGTGTTAATTTGCCCTCCTTTGATTCATTTCCTGTCTCTGTCCAGTTTGGAGGCGGTCAGTCCAAACCAGAGTTCACTGTGGATCTGAGGGGCGGCTCGGTGGATTGGGCTTCCAAGGACAAGTCCAGCAAGAAACACGTTATAGAGGTAGGTGCCCTTCCTCGATCTCTTCTTCGTTTTGAAAGCACTGAAAACTCTCAAATACAAACAAAACATCCTTTAGGTGTAGTTTCAGACATATTACCTCACTGGTACTTTGGGTCTTTCTCCTGGTTGCAGGTGAAGACTCGGCAGGGCACGGAGCTGCTGATCCAGTCAGAAAACGATGTCCTGATCAATGACTGGTTCCGAGCGCTGCAGGACACCATCAGCACCCATGTAAGGATCAACACCTTCACACAGTCCCAAAATGACGTGTCTCTGCCAGTGTTGCCAGATTGGACTGACCAAAAGTAGCCCAATTAGAGGCTAAAGCCTAGAACCTGTGCTGTCGTCATAAAGTGTACCAGTTTTTAGGAAGAGTGGATTTCTGTCACAGCTAACTTATGACTGTCGGCATATTCACTTTTTAAAGAAAACACATATTTTAAGTCGGATGTACTTGAACTCTCCAACTGAACACGAGCTGCTTATTTTAACCACTGGAGGAAACTAAAAAGATGAACTGTGGTATATTAAGTACAGTTTGCTCTACAAATATTTGTTTTTTGCCGGTTAATGAAGAGGAAACGTTGGATATCTAATCAGTGGCACCTTACTACTTATCTAGTTTGTTGTTTTGCTGCCCTGAGAGTCCAAAGGTGCAGCAGGCTTTACACCCAGTATCTTATTTCAATGTGTGTTTGTGTGTGTCTTAGGCCTGGGAGTCTGATGAGGCCATTGAAGAGGACATGCCGGAGTCTCCTGGTGCAGAGAAACACGACAAAGAGAAAGAGCACAGAGACTCAAAGAAAGGCAGAGGTCTGTGTGGTGTTTAATGATGTTAAACAAATTTAAAAATACAAGCATGAACATGTTTGCAGTATTTATAAGGTAAAGTACTTCTGTGTAAAACTGATAATAAATCACCATCAACTCAAATATTTAGGAGTCGAATTCATTGGAAAAAAAATCATATATGATAGCAGGGAAATATGAACAGGGTGGACACTTTACACAAGACTGAAAATGAAAGCTTAAAGTACAAAGTTTCTGTTTGGCTCAGTGCCCTACTCGCCCCTATAAAACAACTGCTTCTCAGTTTCATTCCCTCAAAACATCGAGCAGCCGTCATGCAGAACAGTGTGTTGAGACGAGTGGTGGACAACACTATCTTCTCCCATCTCTCCTTCGCAGCCATGAAGACCTCCACCAGCATGGACGGCTCCGACAACAAGAAGACCAGACACAAGCTGAAGAAGTTTCTGACCCGCCGCCCGACCCTGCAGTCCGTCAGAGACAAAGGATACATCAAAGGTACCAGAGGGCAACGAGTTCCACTTAGAAACACAAACTTTTGCTGTATTTGTGCACATTGTAAAAAAAGATTCTGGGATATTGTGCAATTCAAAAAGGTATCGCTGGCAGAAAAGTAAATATCAAGTTAACTGTATAAAGAATACAGTCTTTTAGGTTGATACTGTACATTTGTGGTGTTAGCTGTTTTTTTTTGTTGCTGTTTTTAACCTCAGAAAGGTCAATTATAGAGGAAACAGACTGGTTTTATTTCTTTACATACATCCATTTGCTCTAACCTTAACAATATTCTATTTTTATTTAATGTATCCTTCAACAAGCCAATTTACCCACAGGAATCAGGAAAGTTTTATAGTACTGTAATTATTAACCGGGAAAAGTTTTATAATTATAGTCATTTATACATTTGTTGCCTGAAGTTTGTTGCCTATGTGACATTAAAGAGCCCACAGACAGAAAAACCTTGCTTTTCTTTACCTGTAATAGAAAGTAATAAGGCACAGGGAGGTTTTGCAGCCCACTGTTAAGATCTGAGCGTCGATAAAAAGACATACTGCAACAAAACAAGGACTTTGGACTGTTTTGTGACTGTGGTTTTCTTCTTCCTTTCTGTGTGTTCAGATCAGGTGTTCGGCTGCAGTCTGTCCAGTTTGTGTCACAGGGAGAACACCACGGTGCCGATTTTCGTCAGGATGTGCATCGACCACGTGGAGAACAACGGTGGGTTCAGAATCAGATGTGTGTCACTTTACCTGACCTGAGTTTGAAGGAAATGATACTAGCTAGGGTTTACTGCCTCATGATAACATGAGTACTGGCCTGACCAACAGGATACTATCTTGTTTTGGGTGATTCAACTCTTCTGATGCTCAAAGCAAATAAACGAACCATAGGAACAACTGCAGATGCAGATATTACTGAGCTGATGTCAATGTCTGTCTCCCGTTATCCCCTGCAGGTCTGTGTATAGATGGGCTGTACAGGGTTAGTGGGAACCTGGCTGTCATACAAAAACTTCGCTTTGCTGTTAATCATGGTAAGTTACCGCTTTCTGAAACTGCCACTGGTTATTTAGAAGTATTCTAACTTGAATTCTGTCAGTTTCTTCTGATACGCTGTTATAAGCGTCTGTTGACGACACTGACTGAAGGGTTTCTGTGTGTGTCCAGATGAGAAGGTGAACCTGGCAGACGGGAAGTGGGAGGACATCCATGTGACCACTGGAGCCTTAAAGATGTACTTCAGGGAGCTGCCGGAGCCTCTCTTCACCTACGCATTCTTCCATGACTTTGTCAGCGGCATCAGTACGTGTTACATACAGCTGTACCACAGATATCTGGATTTATTCATGCGTTAACTCAGAGTTTAAAGCGAATGTACTGGAAATGTACTGCTACAAAACCCCAAACAATCATTCTGTCAGAATTGGACGTCTCATTGATGTCAGCCTCAGAGTTTGGTCACTGATTTTGTGCTCACTCCAAGAATTTTAACTGAATGCAGGGAACTAACTCTACGATGGCTGTGATTGTTCTCTCAGACTTTGATACGTGTTGTGTTTTCCACTCTGCAGAGATTTCAGACTACAAGCATCGAGTTCAGTCCATCAAAGACCTGGTCAGACAGCTGCCGAAGCCCAACCACGACACCATGCAGGCTCTCTTCAAACACCTCAGGAAGTAAGGAAAACACTGTTTTTTTATTGATTTTTTTTTTTTGTGGAAACCAGAAGAATTTTAATAGAAAATCTCAAGAAGGAGACACGATTCTCTACACATGAAAACAATATATATCACATACAGAGACTGACAGATGATTTTGGTTGTTAATGAATCTGTGAGTTTTCTTTTCAACAACCAGATTGTTCTGTCTACAATATGTCAGGAAATAGTGAAAAATGCCAATCAAATTTACCACTAAAGTCTACAAATGACTTGTTTTGTTGAACCCACAATCTAAGACATTCACATTCTGACTCTGGAAGCAGGAACCACAGAATTTTTGGCCCTTTACCTAATAAATCACATTTAAACAACTAATAGAACATCAGAATTGTTGTTTTCTGATGACAAATAAGTTAATTGACTAATCATATGAGCACATACATACATTTTTAGTGACGTTTAACCAGTCTTGCAGGGGACAAACACTGAAAAGGAAGGTCATAAGCACATTAATTGAGGGTCATCCACTGTATGCTGTTTACATAATACCAAGTTTGTCTCAACTCAATAATTGTGAGCACTGGTTTTTGAATGTCCTCCAAATTTGCATGTTTTAATGAAAATATTTATTGAACTCCGATTCTACCGCATTATGGGGAAGGTTGCCAAAGAATATTTCTGTAAGAAATAATGTTTGAATGATAAAAATTGTTCTTGTCAGCCTTGAGAGTTTTAATATTTGTCCTCCAGGGTGATCGACCACGGTGAGGAAAACCGTATGACCACCCAGAGCGTGGCCATCGTGTTCGGCCCCACGCTGCTGCGACCTGAAACGGAGACCTGGAACATGGCGGTCCACATGGTCTACCAAAACCAGATAGTGGAGCTAATACTGCTGGAGTACGAGAACATTTTCGGCAGGTAGAAAGAGACGCCGGAGGATGAGGCCTCTTTGTTTTTGTTCTCTCCCAACGCAGAGCTCTTCCTAACCCAGCATGGCCCTGCCAAAAACAGCCCGGCCTGGCTTGGCTCAGCCTGGCCCAGCCCGGCCCGGGGGCAGCTTCTCTTCATCTCAAACCAACCTGCGGTAACTGGCTTCTCCAATCTCGCAACCTCCGGACCAAAAGCCACGCAAATATGAACCAAAACATAGATGTAACAAAACTAGCGACCAAAAAAGTTTTAGACTCTTTGCACTTTTCAGTATCTCATTTTCTTCTGCAGCTGCGTTTGTGCCACTTTACTGCAAAGGTGACGCCCTCCTGTCCCGACACTGGATTCCTAAAACTAATACATGGGCCAAACAAGCCTCTAAACACTGCACAGACGGACTGAGAGCCTCAGTAGCCTCGATCACAGAGGAGGCGTCAGTATTGGAGGTTGGAAGCGGAGGTGCAACCCTGTATGTACTGTACTGTATATTCTATGACCTGTATAGACCGCACTGGGGAACCGACAGAAGAAACCAAACTGCTTGGCTTTAGACGTTTAGACACTAAGAGGAGAAACAGAGTTAGAACAAGGAGAAGAAGGGAAGATGTAGAGGTCTTTCATTTAGGAGCTATATGTCATTAAAGAACAATTTCTGCCCTTTCCGTGCTGTTCTATCTTTCACTTTATTTTAAATGTTTTGTTCCTCTTCTACCTCTTTCTATCTCTCTTAGGGCTTGTGTACACATAGTGTTTTTTTTACAAGTGTGTATGAGGCAGCTAGGGCTGCCTAGAGAAAAAGCGAGAGGAAAAATTCACAGATTACTGATATATCGCCCGCTACGGTGAATTTTTTAGCTGAAATGAAAATGGGCTGATATTGCATCGATATGATATATATGATAATGCTGCTTTCTCAAACAAATAACTTTCTAAATATTCTTTAACATATAGGCTGTATTGAACAAATTAACACTGAGAAGGTAAAGAATAAATAAAAATATAATAAATTGTACATCAGTACTGTAAAAATGATTTTTTTTTAAATTTGCATTATAATCAACAATAACAAAACAGTTTTCATGTCAGTGCATATTGGAAGACATATACATTATCGGTATACAGTACCAAGATGTCTGCGATAGGCAAACTATGCTGAGAGTTCTCTACTATGTTTTGCTGTCATTTAGCTCTTCACTACTGCCTGTTAAACCCTGGGCCGGGCTACACACACACACACACACACACAGCAGACGGTGAACCGCATGAAGTGAAGAGAGTTAATGACAACTTGAGTAAAACGTAGAAAAAGAAGAAAAGCGTTGTTAACAAACGTTCTGCGGCAAGGCAACAAATATTGCCTTGCCGCAGAACGTTTGTT